CTGTGCTGATTACTAATCTGCATATGACAAAAACTGTGGTGATTATTAATCTGCATATGACATAAACTGTGGTGATTACTAATCTGCATATGACATAAACTGTGGTGATTACTAATCTGCATATGACAAAAACTGTGGTGATTACTAATCTGCATATGACATAAACTGTGGTGATTACTAATCTGCATATGACATAAACTGTGGTGATTACTAATCTGCATATGACAAAAACTGTGGTGATTATTAATCTGCATATGACATAAACTGTGGTGATTACTAATCTGCATATGACATAAACTGTGGTGATTACTAATTTGCATATGACAAAAACTGTGGTGATTACTAATTTGCATATGACAGTTAGAGACAGTTACAAAAATAAACAAAAAACTTGAACAATGGGTCACATGACCAAAAATGGTACATGTATAATAATATTTCAAAGCATGGGTTTTGATGTATAAAACAAAAAATGGCAACCGAATTTCAGTAATATGCAAGTTTCCCTTGATGGTCAGTAAATCTGGACAGAGTGCTGACAAAAGCATGGAGTACTTTTTTCTGCTGTGTACAATCCTCACTATTTGTAGAATGTCATGAAGACGTTCGTTATTTTGCTAAGATTCAAGCACAACTCAACATATCTTTTTCGCTTTCCTTGCCAACTGGTTAAGCTGGGTGCATGAATGGAAAATGTTAGCACTTGTTCAATGTTAACACTTTGCTCTGGAAACACAATGATGCCAATTTACACTGTTTTGATAGATTTTCTGGTACATGTTGTGAAGTCTACCTCAGTTAGTAATGAAGAAATTTATAGTTTTTTAAATTTTAATCACTTTTAGTCGAAATTCTCAACAATGTGAGATGTTTATATACCATGTCTGAGAGATGGTTGAGGACATAGAAATTATTAATTGAGGTAGATCAATATGGCCACTCAGTTGGCCAGAAATCATCAAATCTCCCAACAAATAATTTGCATGTTTCTCATCTTGGTTTGTTTCTTTAAATTGGTCAAACCATTTTAAAAACATTATGGACAGATGCACAGGCACACTGAACCTGAAACACAAATCCACATTTAATATATGGACCAGAAAATAGACCAATTATAGGTGCCAATTATATGTGAAGACCAACTTACTTTTTTTGGTAGTGAATGTAGGATTTGATTTACTTCTGCTGAATTGTGGTATCCCAGAATTCATTGCAGAGTGAAAGACAGTTAATTGTTGTTGTTGGAATACAGTGACGCGCACTAATTTCAGACTTCTTGGTTGACATTGTTGTACAAAGCTCTTAATCCCATCAAATATAGCATCAGCGCAATCTTGAAGTGGTATACCATGGCTACCTAAATTACAACATATCAAGGA